TTTAGAAACTCACATATGTTGTTTTCACTCCTTTTTATGTAATGACTTCTGGTGTACTCTCAAACCCCGTGTAAGACCTATTTTTATGTACGGTATAGACCGATCTCTGACTTTTTTTAAATGAAACCTTAAAAGGGTTTCGTAGACTTTCTTATCATCATGAAAATTTAGAAACTGAATGGAGTTACAGAACATTTTATCTGGATGACGAGAAAGATGTAGTGAACTCTGAGCTGTAACTTTAAACCAATAACATAAGCCGTTTTCTAAGCGATGATTACAGTGTTATTTAACCCTTAACCAATGTGCTTACAGTCCGTTTCTTCACACATCTGTTATCTTACTCGACAAGCAGTCCTGCTTATCTATTCTGAAGATCTGCACATTCAGTGTTATTCTTAAAGTTTATATATATATGTGTATCAACCCTATGAATAACTCCTGAAGACATACTTTCCCGCAAAATCAGAAAGAAAAATATCACTGCCCTCAAACATCTCTACTTTTAAAATGAAAAAAAACAAACAAAAACACGAAAATAACATCGAAATCAATTCAATAACATTGATAAGATAAAAAAAGCGTGTCCAAGAGAAATGAAAAATAAGGTCATCAGACTTTGATTAACGTAAATCAGACTTTTACTGTGAACTTATGACTGGATAAAAAGTAAAAAATATAAACACAAAGATGTAGAATTTACACTGATATCTACATAATAAATTTTGGGACTTACTATATGGGAATGCTATAATTTTTACACAAAAACAAATATTACATTTTAGTTTTTTTAATGATTAACCAATCTACTACTATCAGAATTTACAAACATCTTGTATAAAATGTAGAATTATAAAGTAAATTAACTATTGTAATTGAATTTGTTGACTAAAACAATTTTGGTTAATTAAAGTTTTATACCTTCTTGTAAGTTCATCATATCGAAAAATTATTTTATATATACTTTGTTTGCTGAATTTCGCGCAAAGCTACTCGAGGACTATCTGCTCTAGCCATCCCTAAGTTAGAAGTAATAGACTAGAGGGAAGACAGCTAGTTAAACAGTACTCACCACCAACTCTTGGTGTGCCCAATACCAACGCATTGACCGTCACATTATAATGTCCCCATGACTAAAAGGACGCGCATGTTTGGTGCTGGAGTAGTATATAACCACTCTGATAACAGAAGAAGTATACTGTAGTTATACATTGTTATCAATCCAACTTTCAACATTCAGTACTCTTTTTATTAAAAGCGTTCTCGTCTAAACGTGCAAGTTAGAAATGGGAACGCTTTGATTAAACTTCAATAAATGAAGAAATATTTCTAGGTTGTAAAAATTAAGTAACTTAACGCAATATATGCCACACACATTAGGTAAATTCGCAGGCTGATACTATCAACGTCATCTTATTAATGGCAAGAAAACAGGAACAAAAATCCAAATTTACTTAACATCCTATAGTATCTGTTTTTGTTGTTTTTAACAATAAGTTACATTGTTTATTTGTTTGTTTTGAATTTCGCGCAAAGCCACAAGAGGGCTATGTGCGCTAGCCGTCCCTAATTTAGCAGTGTAAGATTAGAGGGAAGGCAGCTAGTCATCACCACCCACCGCCAACTCTTGGGCTACTCTTTTACCAACGAATAGTGGGATTGACCGTCACATTATAACGCACCCGCGGCTGAAAGGGCGAGCATGTTTGGTGGGACGGGGATTCGAACCCGCGACCCGCAGATTGCGAATCGAGCTCCCTAACCATCTGGCCATGCCGGGCCCAAAGTTACATAACATGGTATCTGCACTCTGTCAATCGCGGGGAATTAAACTCGGGATTTTAGCGTTGTAAATCCATAAACTTGGTGCTGACCCGCCAGGAGACTCTATAAAATCAAGATCATGAAACAGTTTTTTTTAAAAACAAACAAAAAACTTTTACGTATTCGAAATGTCATGCCAAGATGGAAAAAAGCTAATAAATTGTAAATAAGTTTTTTGTTAGACAAACAATTTTTGGTGACTGAGCAATAAGTCTGCGGGCTTATACTGCTTAAACTCGGATTTTGATACCCGCGGTGGGCAGAACACCTGTAGCTCATTGTGTAACTTTGCGCACAAAAAGAGAAAAAAAATAAAAATTACGTAGCATGTATGTACTATATATATATATATATATATAAATAAAACCTACACATGCGAAAATGTAAGTTCGCACTGATTTATGATAAGCTGTTTTTATCTTGCAAAATCCCTAGAGTTTCTGTACTTTTATATATAAGCTCTTTCGTGTAAGCAAAGAACTAAATAAAAATAACCTTATGTTAAACCCTGTTTATAGAATAAAATAATCACGCTATGCACTTTTACACAAGTAAAGCACTTATTAAAATATTCCCTTTATATGCTCTATTTTGTATGAGTAGAAACCCTCCTTTTCAAACACATATCTGATCAATAAAACAGAAAAGACAACGCTTTTTTTCCGTGCACAGTCAAATAGAGCTGAAATGTGTGAAGTTGTAGTTAAAGTTTAACTGTTGTTATGAATTTTATCGATCTTATACACATCGTAAATTTCAATTTCCTCATCGCTGCTCTTAACCTTTCAAATCGCTAGCCTGAACTGACCGTCTGGTCGAAAGTACAGGTACTTGTGTACAATGCTGATTAACTACAACGGAAATCTAACTTCTACCAGTAACATTAGAACGATAAACAATAATTTTGAATAAATATTATTTAATACACCCACATTTTAAGTTTCGAACTTTTCGTTACTTTTCGAACTTATTTTATCAGAACTTGTGTTAACGGTCCTATTTCGAAATAAGCTGGCTTCGTTTTATTTACTGTATTTGTTTATACCAGGATTCCATTATGTTATCTTATAGTCCACCCCCACCTCCCATACTGACTTTCTTTGTCAGTTGGAAATATTTCCCTCTTCCTTAGATAGGAACCTGTTTTATTATTTGCTACAATCAACGCACTGTTTTTCACTCGTATTCACGAGAACAACAACATTTGGTGCTCAGTGATAATTCTTGCAAACATAGTTCAAAACGTTTGATTTTAACGAGTTATAGAATTGCCTTCTACAACATTTAACCACAAAATAATGTATGTTTGAGGTTTATAAACACTGTTCTAGAAATGTGAACGTCTTTTGTTTTCCCATTTTTGGAGTCTTTATTGGGTATGTTTTGTTTGTTTGTTGTTAAGCGCAAAGCCACATAATGGGCTATCTACAATGTGTCCATCACAGGTATCGAAACCAAATTTTTAGCGATATAAGCCTTATAACTTGCCGATGAGCTATTGGGAGGCTTTAGATATTAGATATTTTATGGTATACACAGTACTGTTTCATAAATGCTCAAGCTAAAGCTAAATGTTGATTTTATGGTTGTCATCAACGGATTAAACACCATATTTCTTTGTAACCAAGTATCAAGAATAGAAGTAATGCAATCTTACGATTGGTTGTGCGTAAGAAAGAATATCCTACATTAAGGTGATTTCCTGTAGGTCATAAATAATAAATCCTTTTTTATATCGTCTCCTAGGGATTCTAAATACATACAACGAATTAGCGGTTAGGTATCCTGCATCCATCCCTTACGTCACTAAACTTCCACAGATATTCTAAACCCCCTAGATTAAATCCTGGATCCACCATAGACCACTTATTAAGAGTTTGTAAATACACTAAGAAAGACGAAGTATTTTTAAGCCTAGTAATTCAAGAGGTGAAAGCTCAGTTTTTTTTTTTCAGTGATCAGTGATTACCCAAAAATATACTAACTTTTCTATAGATCTTCTGTTATAAACAACCATGTAGAATGAATAGTATAGATCTTCTGTTATAAACAACCATGTAGAATGATGAGTATAGATATAAACAACCATGTAGAATGATGAGTATAGATCTTCTGTTATAAACAACCATGTAGAATGATGAGTATAGATCTTTTGTTATAACCAACCATGTAGAATGATGAGTATAGATCTTCTGTTATAACCAACCATATAGAATGATGAGTATAGATATTTTGTTATAAACATCCATGTAGAATGATGAGTATAGATCTTCTGTTATAAACAACCATGTAGAATGATTAGTATCTTTGAATTACAAAAAAAAAAAAAATCACAGAAGATCAGAATGTTTATTAGGAAAAATATTTTTATTGTGTTTTCTGTTTGGTTGGTTAGTCATAAAAAGGCAGAATTAATTATAAGCTAACAGTCATTATATTTTACAATCAGTTTCAGATTTTTAACGTTAACATCTACTATCATATATATACTTAAACGTATAACTCCATCTGCACTTTCTCTTCACAGCAGTTCATATTTTTGAACATTCTTATACTTGAATAGAGTTGTTTAAACATTTGTTTAACAACAAGTAAAAGCTTGAAATGGTCTATTCTTTCATTGGTGGTGTTTAACAATACGAAGAATTAAATTGTGGCGGAATGCTAAAAGTTCTTCAAATACCTGTAGAATGATAGGTTTATTTTTTGTGAGTGTAAAACACTTAAATATACCATTTCGATATTCTATGCCTCATAGTATAAGAAGTCTAGAAGGATTCTGGCAATAACTTTCCGATAGTTTAATAAAAATCGTTCTTGATTTGGACCTTGTTTTTTAAGACTGCAATATGCACATTATCTCACACAGGATAATCAACACTTACAGTTACAGCCGTTGTATATAGTTTAAAATAATAATTCAATGACATAAGTTAATCACTTAATAAATACCCATATTTCTAATACCTGTTTATTTACTGATACCGAAAATTCTGTCCGTTGTATTTCACGGATAAATGTTTTTGCACTAACACACATAAAAAGATAGTTCGTGTGATACGTAAATACTATTTAGTAGGCCTTGTTAGCTCATATCTAAATGACACTATCTGTATGTAACATTGAGTTTATATCAAGCACCGATTTCCAAGACCATTTACCCAGCCAACACTTACTTTTACTTCAGCATCATCCATTTTGGGTCTTTTAGCGATCATTTCGATCCCACTATCCATAGTGATAAGTCTTCCTCAGAGTTAGATGCGTGATACTTGTATGTCTTGCTTGCGTGTTCTGAGCTCGCTAGCACGTGAGTACATAACCCAGCAAAAGATACGTCCTTGGACGCTTGAGGCAATCCGTTTTTTGTATCGTATAGCTCGAAAACATAGGCAGTTGGTTTGACCCAAGAGATTAGGTGAAACACACGAGTTTGAGTTTAAGAAACTGGGGACATATTTTCGATCTACTGCTTCTTTTGTGGGTCAAAGAACAGAGTGGAATGGTCTGTGTTCATTGGTCATTGCGCTTGTACTTTGAAGCAGTTTACGTTATTAAAACTAAACCTGATGGGATTTTAATCACATGATCGAATGTGTTTAAAATGAAATTTAAAATGATTACGTTTGCAAAATGAATTTTAAACACTCTTACAACATAGGACAATCCAGATCGATGACGACTCAAGATTCATATCCTGTTGGCACAAAAACACGCTCCGTACATTGAGGCCCTATAAAATGGGTGGGTACAATCTTAATATTCAGTCTGACAAGAGTAGTCCGGGAGTTGTCGGTGAGTGCTATTGACTAACTGCCTTCCTTCTAGTCTGTTATTTTAAAATTATAAACTGATATGCGCATGCGTAACGAGAACAACTGTAATGCTTATGATACTTAATTTTTAATGCTTTTGTTTGTTTTGTTTTTGAATTTCGCGCAAAGCTACACGAGGGCTATCTGCGCTAGCCGTCCATAATTTAGCAGTGTAAGACTAGAGGAAAGGCAGCTAATCATCACCACCCACCGCCAACTCTTGGGCTACTCTTTTACCAACGAATAGTGGGATTGACTGTCACATTATAACGTCCCCACGGCTGAAAGGGCGAGCATGTTTAGTGTGACGGGGATTTGAAACCGCGACCCGCTGATTGCGAGTCGAGCGCCCTAACCACCTGGCCATGCCGGGCCGGGATTAATGAACTCCAAGTGTTATCGTTTCCAAAATTAGGGCATCGTCCCTGTGCATTAATAATCTGTTTAAAAACACGACCTGCGCAGGTTTGATAGGAGGCAAATTAAAGCTTGTGAAACGCCCACCATTAAGAATCAACGTAAAATATAGTTATTTTTCAAAACATTTGTTAAAACCCAGATTAAAATTGACTTCAAAATGATGTAACAATTTTCGGTATCCTTTACAGTTTGTTTGTTTGTTTGTAATTAAGCATAAAGCTACACAATAGGCTATTTGTGCTCTGCCCACCCACCGCCAACTCTTGGGCTACTCTTTTACCAACGAATAGTGGGATTGACTGTCACATTATAACGTCCCCACGGCTGAAAGGACCAGCATGTTTAGTGTGACGGGGATTCGAATCCGCGACCCTTAAATTGCGAGTGAAGTGCCCTAACCACCTGGCCATGCCGGGCCAAATATACCTTAGCAGACATTTTGTAGAATAAAATTATATTTATTTACGGTAAAGTTTAGCTCTAACTAACATAAAGAAAAAAACGTACACAAGTTACAGTGTTAATGTATCTCTTTAGTAAATATAGCCGTACTTAATGAAGGCTTAACAAGTGTTAGGTCTAAGACAAGTGGCCTTGCACTATTACAGATTTCGGTGTTGGCGATTAG